AAACACGTTACATTTTGTTTTCTTTTGAAACCGGGGATCAAGAATTAACATCCTCTCCCCTCCCCTCCCCCCTCCCCTCCCCTCCACCCCACCCCCCTCCCCACCCCCCCCCTCCCCACCCCCTCCCCAATCCCAACTCCCCAATCCCACTGAAAAATCCCAACTGAACCAATTTAACATCCTCCTCCTCCCCGCCAAATGAGGCATGGGGAGGGGGAGGTTTTTCAGTTGGTCCGAAAACGGTTTAGCGAAAATAACTGTGACCGAACGTTCTAAGCGATTTAATACAGCCGACCATCCTTAATCTGATTTAATTTGATGAAAAAAGTAGCGGAAAATTTCACAAAATCTGGATTGAATTGAGAATCTTGTGACCTTCGAGCGGGCACATCAAACTTGTTGTGTTGGTTGCGACTACTGCCAAATGTGTGGTAGCTCTGGTCACTGACTTGAGAAATAATCTTTTGAAATCGCTAACGCCAAGTTGCACTAATTTCTCGAGAAGCACTACCACACATACCGCCTCCACTCCATTAATTGAGTTAAAGGATTCCAATTGAATGATTGGTAAGACGTCGGCTCGGTTATCGAACGATGTTTTACCGCCATCTGGATAGAGTTCAAAAATAGTTGATCTCAAAATTACGTTTTTCTTTTTTAAGCGGTCCAGAATAGCAAGTTGGCCTTTAGGGGACAGGAAATCAAGAATCACGAGAGCATGAAATAGTGGTTCTTTTCTGGAACTGCTTTTTGTCGCCATGGAACTTTCCGCGTGTTTAATTATTGTCTCTACACATTTTTCCAGAAACAACTCCATGTTTTCGTCTCCAACAAACGTTATTTCGGGACTGTTCGTGCCTTCCAGATTGTGAGCGGGTGATCCATTCATATCATAGCAGAATATCCAGTTTCTGAGTAGATTATTGACGAATTCTTGTAGCTTGATCGTGGATCTCATTGTGTGAGAAAGGAAAAGGTTGCTTATTGGATTAGTTGCAGTCGTGTTTCTAATGACTCCCAGAGATGAAAAGATACAACAGTGCACTTTTTCATCCAGATAGTCTGGCAACATTTTCCACCAAGAAAGCGTACTGGGTTGTTCCTCGTCTATAAAAACGATACCTCGTTTTAGTTGTCCAATTTTTTGCAGCGGGTTCAATCCCAGTTCAAGTTTTATCCCTGTTGCTTCCAGCGTTCGCCTCAGTTGCGAAAACAACATAACAGAGCAACCAAAGCTCCCGTCGCATATCAACACCTCTCCGCGTTCAGTGGGGCTATCGAAGTTTGCAGCCTCTTCTTTGTAGAACAGTTGGGCTAACTCGGCCAGATAAATAAGGAGCATTGTCTTTCCTGAACCCTTGGCTCCGTGAACATTCACACGCAGTGGTTCTTTTTCATTTGGAGACTGCGTGATCCCATTGAAGATGGTTGCAATTATGTTTAGCTGCTCTTTAGTCCAAAGAACGAATCTTGTTCCACCCCCGCTTCGCTTCGACGCTTTTTTCAAGAACTCTATAAGATCATTTTTGCATTTTTCTGCTTCTTTTTCGGTCATAGTCTCGTCAAGTTGTTGTTTGATCCATTTATCAATATCCTTTTTAACTTTAATGGACTGAAATTCATTGGATTGAATTTTGGTATCAACAATGGCACTAGACCCCTCCATGGAACTGAGAGCCACCAGACGGAAAACCAGCAAGTCAAAATTATCTGTAGTGGTCATTGTCGGAATCTTATCAATAAATTCAGCCCACTTTGCCGCAAAACCTTTCTTAATATCTGACTTTTCGAACACAATAACTTGGCTGTTTTTCTGAGGGTACCACTGGGAGTCTTTTGCAAGCTCAGCTATTGTCTCGTTATTACCAGCAAGGTAGCAAAATACTGCATGAATTGGAACTTCTGTAGATTCGGCGCTGATTTCTTTTTCTGAGGTACTGGGGTATTTTTGAGAATTTCCTCTATAGCTCATAAGACATTGTAAGAAATTCAGGTGGACAAGCATTTCCGATTTCATTTTTTCGTCCAATTTCTTAGCCTTTTTTCTATTCTTTGACAAATTTTCGGCTTGCATGCTTGCGTTTTTCACATTAAAAATGAAAATGCCTTTCAGTGGGTGGGCAACAATCATGTCAATTTCTACGCAACCTATTGACTCCTTCTGAAAAATGTGACTTCCGTCAACATTTGGGAGAACAATAATTCCTGCGTCGTCCGTTTTAAACTCGTTTATCAAGCATCGATACACTATACTTTCGCCCTTTTCCCCTTTTTGAAGCGATTTATATTTCTGCCGAAGAGCTTTGCTCAGTTCCACGTTATGTAAAAACATTTTCGGAATACGGACACACGGTATCGATGATTTGTTTTTTGGTTCTTTCCAGTCTGGATATTGGTGTACTAGAAGATTCTTCAAAAACTTGTCATTAGCAAACATTTTAAACGACTGCCCCGGCCAAAGGATCTTCAAATTGTTGAGCTCATTGTCGAAATTTGCACGCTTTTGTTCGTCACTGAGAGCAAAGCATGATCTACTTTCGACTGAATTTGGGTCACCTGATGGTGTTGCTCCAGCCTCGTCAGAGATGTATTCAGTCATTTCGGTTGCAGAAAAAGCCATAAAAAAGGAGTTAAATTATCGTCTATTGAAGTTTTGGGTTCATTGCAATTTGGCTGGTGTTTAATTTAAAACAGATGCAAAGATAAAGGTAGATTACTCCGTAGAAAATTGCGCGTATTGGATCAAAATTTGTATCCATTGAGTAAAAGTTGCCAAACATAAGCTTTCGATTTAGCTCATCTGGCTCACGAGGTTATTAGGTGGTTAAAAAGTGAAGAAGGAACACATAAAAAGTTAACACATCATAAATTAGACAAAAATATATTATCATTATCAGAATTGAGATAATTTTTATAAGGACCAGCAATGAGTTCCATGAACAATAATCGATTACAAAAGTTTTTCAAGGCTTGTCTCCATAAAATTCTCGAATAAACTATTATAAATCAAGCAAATTAGGTTTCATTTTAATCCATTATAATCGATTAATAGGATTATTATGGAATATGAAGGATAGTATAATAATTTAAATTTGTTTAAGCACAAGCCTGGATTTTCTCATAAACAGTTGGAACATACTTGAAACTTGAAATAGCTTGAGATTTAAGTTTAACTTGTATTAAAAACTGGCATGGTTTTGTTTTACTTGTGTTCTGATTTCAAATTGAAACAGAATCATGAATTATTTTTTTGTGCTCACAAAGTGTGACGCCGCCGCCACCACAAAATAAATATGTTTTCATCCGTTTGCAAAAGGAAGGGAAATGCTATTGGAATAATTCGAATAACGTTTTAAGCATTGAGAAATGAAACGACTAGTATCAAAAAATCTAATTCCCTACAAAATTACAAACTCCCCAGTTGGACGAATACACTGAGCAAATCCAACGTAGCCATATACATGAAACGCATCAAATCCGGGAGCTAAAAAAAACAAATCCACAGTTTGAGAACAAACAATCACCAACTCATAGCCCGGTTGGAAGGAAAATTATAAAAATTTATCCTTTCATTTAAGATTTATCCTTTAATTTTATATAGCTATGTAGTATGGCTACTAATTTTGCCTTTTCCAACAATTTTGATTTTTATAAAAAATATATATATACCTTTTTGCAACCAGTCCTACCGAAATTACGCATACGGACACCCACTTCACATACTTCAGGACGAAAAGGAAACTTCAAGAAAAGAGTGTTCAAGGAATGATAATATTGAACTGAACTTCAAACTTTTTAGAAACAAATAATTTTGATGTAATTAAATTTATAATTTGATCACTTGGCTGTGTAAATTTTATTTGATTTATAAATTTAACTGTTGTATATATATTCATTCAGGACTGACTCAAAAATTAGGTCTACAATAACATCTGCTGTCGATAAAAAAACCAACAACAAACTATTGAACAAACTTCATGAGGTTGAACGAAAATAGCTTTGGTTGATTAATAAGTACCTCGCTTGATTAGCAGGGTAAAACAAAAAGTTTTAGTTTTTTTCCTCTCTAAAAAGTAGGATGGATATATTCTGATTCCGAATTGAAACAGAAACATGAATTTTTTTTTTGTGCTCACAAAGTGTTATGCCGCCGCCACCACAAAATAAATATATTTTTATCCCTTTGCAAAAGGAAAGGAAATGATATTGGAATAATTCGAATAACGCTATGAGCATTGAGAAATGAAACGACTATTCTCGTTCAATGCGAATAATAACGATTCCTCTCGTGAAATACGAGCATACGAAAGATTCTTGTCGTGAAATACAAATGCACGAATAGCATTCACGAGAGAATACGAAGTTAAAAATAACTTCTCATTTGATACGAAAAAGTGGGAGATTTCCCATCTGATAACAAATAGAAGCTGAAAACTAATGAAATTCATTCCAACCTTTTCCCTTCTAACACCACCACCTCCCCCTCTAATACTCCAACAAATTCTCACAAAATACCAACACCACTCTCTTCAACCACCCCAACCATTCTCTATAAAATACACTCCATTCTCAGAAAAAAATATCTCTAATTTCATCCTAAAAATAAATATTGAGTCAGAAGACAACTTGCAGTAAATTCATGCTAACTTCTTTTCTAATAAAATATTTCTCAGCAAATTTTAGATTTTTTTCCAAGATAGAAAGTAGAAAGGAACCTTTATTACTAGCAAGCGTTTTTTCCGACGTACATAGTATTGCTAGCGTAATACTTGTCTTTTCAACTTTTTCTCATTTTGGTCTTTTTTTCCTAATTTGGGTATCTCTCAGCCATACCTTTATTTGCACCACACTTATTTCCTGCATTCTTATTTCCGTAATTTACTACCACCTCTACCAGCACTTAATTTTTACGCTCAGATGTCTGCTGCCAACCCTCGCCTTGAGGGGGCGTAGCGTAGGCTGTATGTAATGCAGAAAAAGCTGCTAGTTTCGCTAATTATAATAATCCATTATAATGGTTTTTAAAATGATTATAATCAATTGAAATTTGCAAAAAAAGTGGAATTAGATGAATTAGAATCGACTAAAAGGTCCCAAATGGTAATTTTATTCCCTTATCATGCCAACATTTTTGGATACAAAAATATAATAGATTTTTATCAATGAAACCTCAGCTCGGGGAAATGTACTAAAAACAATTATTTATAATTGGACAAAAGTAAAACACAGTATCTGCAAAAAAACTAGATCTATAAAATTTTTTATACATTTGTGACAAACATCAATTTCAATATCATACTCCAGTAAACACACTCAACAAAACTAAATTAGCTCAGAAAAAGTAACGAGCGCCAAGTGATCCGACACATTTTTGGTAGATGACCATTGAGCCGAAAAATAATTAATATAAAACATTTTGAGCGAGTAGAGTTTGCAACTCCAAGATTTACACCCTCTCGGAACACACACAAAAAAATTCAAAAAAACTGTTTTTGTCCTTGAAGCGCCAAAAATTTGGTGTCTATGCCAATATCAAGAATGCCGAAACCATTTAGGCCAAACAAATAAAAAAATTATACAAAATCAGAAGTCGCAAATGTCAAATTTATAAGAAAAATTCAAAATTATTTCAATTCTAGCAAAACGCATTTCGTCGATAAAATAATTAAAAGCGTGATTTCAGAAAAAAGTGATAAGAAATAAACAAATAAAAAAAAATCCGGTAATTAAATTTCTCCCAAAAAAGAACCATTGCATTTAAGAAATCCACTCTTTGCCAGCATCGATCCAATTACCCTTGTCATCTCAAGCTCAGAAATTACCTTCAAGCACCTAATCTGGTACCTCAAACTTGACATACTTCTAAAGTAAATTGAGCAAAAAGGTTCAAAGATTTTATCAAACAATTTTTTTATCAGAAAACATCTATATTCAGGTTTATTAGTGCTTGCTAATTGCAACCGTAAAAAATTCAACCAGTCACATAACTAAAATAAGCTAAAACTTCGTCCAAAACTATAAACAAACTGTAAAAGACAAAAAATTATGAGAAAACTTAATCAAACAAATTGACAACTTTTCATGTTTAACTTTTCTAATGTTATTCTAGAATTCTGAAAATGATCTTTTAGATTTTCAAAAATTTCTGATTGGAGTTCAATCCTTCTCATACAATACCAACAAAAACAAATATAAAACAGAGGCGAAGTTGCACTCATACAAAAGCAAAAAAAAAGATGACCGATAACGCTTTTGGGAAAAACTGAATGAGTAAAACTTTGAGTCTACAAATTTTCTTAGGTGACGCACGCCAATTATGAGTATACAAACTTGCTGCACAAGCCAATTATGACACATTAGCAGTACCAGTCAATTTAAAAAAAAAAATTACCACATAGTATGCTTCAATTTTAAGAGCGGACCGCAAAAACATCCGACCCTACCCTGGTTCGAACCCTCTTATTTTGTTGCGGGTCTCCGTCCCTACCTCTACGCTACAGATCCATGATACCTAGAAGCTAAAGTGCTATTTGTAATATAATAGTCTGTGTTAATATCCTTAGCATTGGCTGTACTTAATAGCTGGATCAAAACGAACACTTTCAAAATGTACACATTTTGTTGCAACAATATTTGCGTCGCAACAACTTTTGCGACTTAAGTTGGAAAAAAAGAAAGTTCATACTATAACACAAGCTTCGCTTGTGTAAATAAACAACAAGAAAAGAAACTGAAAAAGTTCACGGAATTGACCTCAGCGCCAAAAATTTACCGAATATTTTCGCCACTGATCAAAAATATTTGCAGTTTTTAGAGTGCAGCCATGTCTCAAATGTCTCATTAATTTGCTTCAAATGCGACTTACAGTCATTTGGTTCATTCTGTGAAAAAATTGCGTACTGGAAAAGTCTAGTACCCGGTTGGAACACCCTTGCTTAATACAAGGGAAATATATATGAGCAGAAAAAGCTTCCCTACTTACCGTGTAAGCAGACAGTAAGACGAATTATTAATAGTTTACCAGATAAAAATCCATGTTATAATAGTGCTTTGATTGCGTTTTCAAATTTTTAAAGAGATGATTCTTTTAAGCCGGGTCGAGGTGCTCGATTTATGTTTCGATTTTCTCGACCGAAAATGGGCATGTTTCGACTTTGTGCCCGGCTTAAAATTGCTTCTCAACAGCGGAATTTCAGTCGCAAAACTGCAACGTCGAAATATAAGTCGAGCTTCTCGATCCGGGTACTACACAATCTTATTATATTTTAAAGTGCTAGACCAGAGTAAATTTGTTTAATTTATTTTTCAACTTTTGTTTTGGTGAAGAATCTACTTGTCTTAGATTTACGTGAAAAGAAAGATCTGGATAAAATAGCACTGCTTCTTTGTTTAAACTGATCTGGTTTGCCCACTTTTCAGCTATCGATTTACAGACTTCCCGAGTCGAGATTTTTCACCTAATTTGAAGCAAGATTTGAGCAGTTTGAGCGGGTTTTTTAGTGATTGATCTTTAGATTTTGTTTGGCAGCAAGGGACCTCGTAATATAAGTTGTTCGTTTTTCTAGTTTTATAAAATGAAATCTTCTTTTGAGAAAAAAAAACTGTTACAATAGGCAGTAGATTTTAGGGTATTCATAGAACAAAATTTGCGTAAATCGTACATACATAACTCAAGGACTGTTAAAATTTTGTGTTTATTAAAGTGTTCCCTATACTACTATTGTAATTTTTCTCGTAAAATATTTTCCTGGTTATTGTTTTGACTTTCGATACGAAAGTAACGGAATATTTGCGCTCGGGGTGGGTTTTTTTTTCTTCCGACAAATTTCGATTTTTTAACTAGCCATTTTTGACGGAATTTTTTTATCATTCAAAAAGTATTGTTGCCCTGAGCTCAAATTTGAAAAGATATTTCACTTGTGATCATTTTTCGTAAAGCTATGGGGGTTTAAAGATTGCCATTTTGGCCAATTTGGGACAATTAACGCGCGATATATTTCGGGCTATTAACGAGTAAGCGGAGAGTTAATCCGTCTTAGAAATCGTTCAAAATTGGTTTAACGAAGCCTATTTGCCATAATTGATTTGTTACAAGTAGCTAAATTGATCTTTTTGTACTTTAAATGGCGTGTGGGGGGATAATTTTCATTAGAAATTTCAAATTTTAGAAAAAACAGTTTTATTTTGTTTTATTTCATTTAACTTTTTAATGTTATTACTGCTCCATAAACCTGAAAAGGCAGTCGGAACACTCAGGGTTTCGCCCCGATACGAGCAGTCTTGTTGT